CTGTCTCTTGAATTCGTCCCTTCCCGTCTGTTTATTTTATCCGTTCCTGTCGATCCATTCCCGTCTACCCCGTCGTGCCCGTCGTATAATTGTGCCCTGCGCAGCTGCAGCGTCGCGCCCGACGTGTCATTACGTGGTCGATGCTTGCGTGCCTGCGTGATATTTGCGTGCAGCAGCAGCACGGTGCGTGCAGCAGCAGCACGGTGCGTGCAGCAGCAGCACGGTGCGTGCAGCAGCAGCACGGTGCGTGCAGCAGCAGCACGGATGTGTTGTAAAGTAGCCATGTGTCGTAAATGAGTCAGTGTTGTAAAAGCTGTGTTGTTGCAAAAACGAAGCGCGCGCCTTGTGGGACCGGCGCTCGATTCTTCGCTTGTGTAAATTGGAATCGTTTTACGACCTTCCTCCACTGGCGCTGTAAAGAAGGAAACATGACAAAACAACTTAAAAACAGTTACGTTCGTCACACACACGTTACATACTCACACGTTTTTACTCAAACGTTACAACTGAAATACTGGTAGCATTCACAGTAGACTTTAGCGCTGCAACTGAAATGCTAGCAGCATCGACCGTAGACTTTCGCACATCTTTTCTACATCAACTGCACCATCTTCTCCCTCCACACTAGCTGTAGGGTCTTTCAAAACCAACTTTAAACCAATGCGTGACCGCATTAGTTTAAAATCCCTAATGAATCATAATTGTAAAACTTTATATCACCACTTTTCAAATACCGTAATAAATTAAACAATCACAGGCTGTAAAACATTACGAATAAATACTTAAACGTAGGCACTTGAGCGCGTGGCATCCATCTTGTGCTTGAAGTTTCAGCCTTCGCATTTGGCCTTCAGTCTTGGCACTTGAACTCCAATTTTAGGCTTAGAAGCTTTTCTAAAACTAGGTACCAAATAAAAATACACAAATCGTTAATATTAAAGTCAACAAATAAACATATCCACAAGCATGGAATCGAATTGTTCACAAAAAATATTCCGATGAACTTCAGAATATAATTGAAAACAAAATTTAGAATACTGAACCTTATTTTAACAAATATTCGTGCCTCGCATTATATTAAAAATGGCAAACGCTTAGTATCCCATACATATTGCCTTCTAACAAGTGTAATGGGCACATTGCACTTAAAAATAAGGGAAACTTATTACAAAAGTGTTAACTTATTTTTACAACACAGATACGATCCTAATTAACACGTTCATTAATACTTATCACACGGGTTAACAGGATTTGAAACTTCGTTAGAGCTTAACCTATTCAACTACCACATTATAATTAGCGATATACTTTATTCAAGAACAACAAGATAAAATTGACAAAACATCATGACTTAATATACCTTAAATTCCAAGGTAGACTTGTGCACATTCGGATTTTCGGGAACAAGGCCTTGCAAACGCGTGACTCTATACGACACAAATTTAAGCTACCAACGGATAGATTCTCAATATAATCCAACGCTTCGTCAATATAATCATCATTACATTTAGTTCTAAGTAAGTTCTCCACTTCTGGATCCACATGGTCTGTACGCAGGGCACTGTCGTACGTAAGGTCAGAAGAGCCCCAAATAAAACACTCTCCGCTCAATCTTCTGCAATCGCGAGCGTAATGACCAATGCGACCGGAGTAACCGCAAGCGAAATCGCCACGTTCTGGAGCACAAGGTGAACAAGCTTAAATTCGGCTTTTATTCCATACTTTGGGCTCTACAGGTTACTATGCGATGAAATTGCGTACTGAGGTGCTGGTCTTGCTGATCTCAAATCCCCGCTAGGAACCAACTCTGGTCGATCAGCGATGCACACATGCATCGCTTTTCTAAGTCTGATTCAAGTTGTTTCTGGCAGCGTTTGTCATTTTTGGCTACTTTCGCACTCTTGATGTCGAAATGACACGCACACTTCTTGACGACTTCTCGCGTGAACATTTCACCTTTCATGCTGTGGCAAATTGAAATTTGAACTTTTTGCGATTTCAAGGCCTCCTTGAAGTTATTGGGGATGCATTTCGTGAATTTGTCAATCAGCGTCTACTTTGGTTTACCTTGCGTCGCTGATAAGCTAGCCGGTACAAAGCGCTCAAGACGACTACAGAATAGATGAATCGGTTAGTTCGTTGATGTAAATGTAGTTCGTTCGTTGATAGATGTATTCGTTTCGTTCTTCTCGCGGCGCAACTCTTATGTCTTCATCCCCATAGCATGGTTTCCTCTTGACATCGGTGTAGGAGTCGTCCACTTTTCTAATTGAATTGAATGCTTCCAATATCTCGCCCTTTAGATTCAACTCGAGCTGACCGATCCACATGTCTCTGTCGCCTCTGAAGTCGTTCTCGCGGAAGGTTGCGAAGCGACTCATGCAGATATGCCTTCAAATGTGGCTAAAAATCCGCGTCAAAATCACTATTGGTGGCACCTTGCGACTATCTAATCTTGCCAAAACACTCAATCATTCACCAAATTTACCTTGGGATTTCACATGATCAGCATTCTACCTCTTGACGTTCCTTTTCTTCTTCAATACAATCTCTTCTACTGACGAGCTGCTGTTCTCTCCACACTGAGTATAACTCACTTCTTCACTGGCGAAACTCTTCTCGTCCTCGCACTCTTCTTCGCTGGGACTGTTCTTATCACATTGTTATTAACTCTACCAGCACGCCTTTTCGTTCGCTGGGACTGTTCTTCTCACGTGGTTGACTACTCTACCAGCACGTCTTTTCGTTCACCGAGACCGTTCTTCTCACATGGTAGGATAACTCTACCAGCAGGTTTTTTCGGGCACCGCTCCGCATCGTTCATGGACAGTTTCCACAGTCATTCTGCCTGCTCGCTTATGTGTCGTCGTCGAGCCACTAATCACACCTAAGCTTAAAAAGGGAAATCACACGTCATGAAATTCCTGTAACCGAGTTTTTTTACGACATCGGCAATCTATGTTCAACATTCTTAACATTTGTTGAGAATTTGCTAATGTATTTCAAATTCTCCTCGATGAATTTCTCCTCTTCGTCCTGGCTCAACACTTCGCCATACTCCTTAGAAGTTGGCGGCAAGGAACATGTACTTACCATATTCAATGTGAACGTGCGAAGAAAATAACTCAGGATAGGGCGGGAAAACGCTTCTTGAATTAGCTGGTCAGACCGAGCATAAGGAAAGCCTGCAGATTGTTTCAAAGTAACTAACAATTGAATAAATGCACCAAGAACTCTGACACAGCACAAATTATAAAACTATTTCACAACCACTGGCCAGTGTACAAGGCACATCATCTGCACTATCTTCTCCCTCTACACCATCTTCTTCTGTACCATCTTCTTCCTCTACACCATCTTCTCCCTCTACACTATCTGCACCATTTTCTCCACACTATCTGCACTATCTTTCATCTTTCTTCACATCCAGTGCGGAAATTGGTTCAACACTTAGCGTGCGCTCAAACTTTCAACTTAGTTACGTCCACCTTAGCTCGTTAAGTAGTTAGTTACGGCGACCGTAACTCCGTAAGTAGTCGTCTGGAATAAACTTTCAGTGCCGCGCGTTTCCGGACGATATGCTTAGGGGAGGACGGCCTTCGTGGGGGTCAGGGGATGGGAGGGAGTAATTAAAATGCGTGATATGGTGAAAAAGGCATTCTAGGGTAAAAATATGCAGTCTAGGGTAAAGATATGCAGCCTAGGGTAAAGATATGCAGTCTAGGGTGAAAATATGCAGTCTAGGGGAGAGATATGCAGTCTAGGGTAAAGATATGCAGTCTAGGGTGAAAATATGCAGTCTAGGGGAGAGATATGCAGTCTATGGTAAAGATATGCAGTCTAGGGTAAATATATGAAGTCTAGGGTAAAGATATGCAGTCTAGGGTAAATATATGAGGTCTAGGGTAAAGATATGCAGTCTAGGATAAATATATGAAATCTTTTCTAAATATACGAAACATAGGGTAAAACAATACATTCTATGTAGCGATATGACGTCTAAGGAAGTAGGATACATTCTAGAATCTAGATCAAAGATATGAAGTATTGGGTTTAAGGATTCAATTTAGAGTAACGATATATATGCACTCTTGGAAAAGGATACGTATTCTAGGGTAAAATGATGTATGTTAGGGTAAAGAAACCGTGCATCCTATTGCATGCCTCCATGATTTGTGGTCACGTTAATCCCTGAGGGGTGTAGAGGGGGGTTGTCCTGGGGCGCAAGGGGAGGGAGGGGGAGCGTAGCCCCCCTCACTCGGTATTCAGGCTCGCGTGGTGCCATCTTTATTATTCCTCCTCTTATAAATCCCCCCATTCTTCTATTCGCTTCCCCTCCCCCCTCCCCTTCCCTCACTCCTCCCCTCACTCTCCCCTCAGCGCTTGAAATTCAAGGCGCGTCTGGACCCCGCGGCGCCCCTCACCTGCCCTTAGTGTTCCTGGGCCCTTAGTGTTCCCGGGCCCTTAGTGTTGTTGGGCCATTAGTGTTCCTGGGCCCTTAGTGTACCTGGGCCCTTAGTGTTCCTGGGCCCTTAGTGTTCTTGGGCCCTTAGTGTTGCTGGGCCATTAGTGTTCCTGGGCCATTAGTGTTCCTGGGCCCTTAGTGTACCTGGGCCCTTAGTGTTCCTGGGTCCTTAGTGTTCCCGGGCCCTTAGTGTTGCTGGGCCATTAGTGTTCCTGGGCCCTTAGTGTACCTGGGCCCTCAGTGTTCCCTGGCCCTTAGTGTTCCTGGGCCCTTAGTGTTACTGGGCCCTTGGTGTTGCTGGGCCCTTAGTGTTCCTGGACCCTTAGTGTTCCTGGGCCCTTGGTGTTCCTGGGCCCTTGGTGTTCCTGGGCCCTTAGTGTTCCTGGGTCCTTTGTTTTCCTGGGTCCTTTGTTTTCCTGGGTCCTTGGTTTTCCCGGGCCCTTAGTGTCCCTGGGCCCTTAGTGTTGCAGGGCCCTTAGTGTTTCTCCTGCAGAACTGCCCCATGTTCTTCTCTCAAGTTCTTATTTTTACTCCGCAGAACTGCTACGAGATGGAGCGCTACCTGAAGGATGAGCCCAGAGGGAAGGGAGGCGGTCCGGTCTCGGGCAGCAGAAACAAGTTGTCGGACCTGGAGGTGCCGTGGCTGACGTTGGTGGACGACAACGCTAATCCCCATAACTCCTCTAGGAACTCAAATAGCAATAGCTTCATCAACGCTAGTAAACCAAAAAGAAGTAAAAACGTCGCCTCGAATGCCTCTAGGATCGTGGCTAGTAGTAGCATGAGTTGCCTGAGACAAATTAGTTCTAGTGTCGCTAGTCTGCGCCACGGCATTTCCTCTGACTGTGATGCCCTTAGTTTGGTTAGCGTGAAGCTCGAGCCCATGGATGGTGACATCACCATTAAGTGTGAACCCATTGACTACGATAGCTTGGGACTCGGAGTGACGAAGCAGGAGCAACTGTTCGGGTCTATCAAGTCGGAGCCGCTGGACTATGAGGACAAGATGGGGGCTTCGGTTGACGATTGTAGCGGGTCTGAACGGTCCTTAGACTCTGTGTCCTTGTCATCGGCTAGTTCCTCAACGTCACTCACATCCCTGGATGGGGATTTAGAGAGCAGACACGTCACCATCAAGAGCGAGCTGTCCCCAGGTACCCTCATCTCGTGGGGTGGTTCCGACACGGCGATCAGGGACACGTTTGTGCACCGCGATGGTTCAGAAAGGCCGACAAACGCGCGTCGAAACACTCACCCCCAAACGGTCGGGAGGATTTTCACCGCCACCCATAAATTATTTAGCGCTAAATCTACCCCCAATATCAGCCCCCTCACTCCCCCTTCATCCCCCGAGACGTCCCCCCTCGCGACACCTGCCCTCATCAAACTACATCCCTCGTCTCGAGCGGGCTCCACTTCCCTCTCGAATATCATCTCCCTCACTCTTCCCCTCAAGCGGTCTCAGTCCCCGTCGATTGGGGCTCATAACAACACCATCGCCAGCCGCACTATCACTGGCGTCAGCATCAACACTAACAGTGACAGCAGCAACGCTCTATGCCACGTCAGCAGATCCCTGACATCAGTGAGGTCCGCTGACAGCAGTCCTGACGCCAAACGAAGGATACACAAATGCTCCTTCTCAGGCTGCAAGAAAGTCTACACCAAGTCCTCGCATCTCAAAGCTCATCAGAGAACTCATACCGGTCAGTGAACTGAAATATTAACTTAGTTTCTTATTTTATATTGCCATAGTGAGCTTATTATTTTATACACACACTTATTTTACTTATTTTATAATAAATATTAATGTCATTAATAATGGACAGGTTAATATTAATAATAATGGTTAAGAATGGTCAGCAGGTTAAGCAGGCGATGTTCGGGAGATTATTTTTGATGAGAAGAAGTTCCACCCATTAGTTGACTCCCCTTTTCCTTCCCATTACAATCATATCGCTGTTCTCACGACGCTGTTCTCACGACGCTGTTCTCACGACGCTGTTCTCACGGCGCTGTTCTCACGACGCTGTTCTCACAAGTGGCGGTAATTCCGTCCTGCGTTTCTAGCGGGAAAACCTAAACGCGACGCCGTTAAACCTGAGCACCGCCGTCTGGCAACACTGAGCAGCGAGGGGAGTGAAGGGAGTGAGGGGAGCATGAAGCGAATAAGAGGAGTGAAAGGAAATAAGGGGAGTGAAGGGGAGTAAGGGGAGTGAGAAGAGTGAAGGGAATAAGAGGAGTGAAATGAATAAGGGGAACAAGGGGAATAAGGGGAGTGAAGGGGAATGAGAGGAGTGAAGGGAATAAGGTGAGTGAAGGGAATAAGGGGAGTGAAATGAATAAGGGGAACAAGGGGAATAAGTGGAGGAAGGGGAATAAGGAGAGGCAAGGGGAATAAGAGGAAGCAAGGGGAATAAGGGGAGTGAAGGGAATAAGGGGAGGCAATGGGAATAGTGGGAAGAAACGTGGAGCAGTGGACAGCGAGGGGAGTAAGAGGGGAATACAAGAGAACCGCACGCAAAAATTGCTATTTCTTGCGATTTTTTCATTTCCTTCACTTCTTTTTCCTGTCAACCCCACAACTCACCACGCGTGTTGTTAGTTGCTAGGAACTAACTTTAACCTCAGCCGTGTTTTGCATTTCATCCCTCACTTCTTCCCCTCAGTTCCCTCATTTTCCACTTCTTTGTTTGTCGTTTTCTCTTTTTAACACAATTTTTTTCCACTGTCCTGTTTCAATTTTCCGTTCCAATCTTTCCTTTCACATTCATCTTTATTTTTTATTTTCCTCTTACGTTTCCCCTTTTATTTTTCCCCGTTTTATTTTTTCCATTTCACTTTCCACTGTTACTTTCTCCTTTCACTTTTCCCTTCCCATTTCCCTCTTTAACTTGACCCTTTCATATGCTTCCTGTCATTTCCCCCATTCCTCTTGCGCTCTCCCCTTTTCACATTCCCCTTTTACTCCAACATGCCCGAACTAGACATTCCCTACGCCTTCCCCTGATCAAGACTTCCCCGCCGGGGGGTTGAGGGGAATGATTCACGGGGAAAACGTGTCCCTAACTCCATTTGTTATCCCCCTATCTCCCCTCCCCGCTCGCACATTCTTCCCCACACTTTTTCCTTTATTCCAACTCCACCAATTAATATTCCATATTTATTAATGCTATTTATTTAATTTTAACTTACCCACCAGGCATTTAACATTGAAATAACTTTGATTAAACGTTATTAGACATACAAGTTGACCACACGAGTTGTTTACAAAAAATTGTTAGAATCAAATAATAAGAATAAAAAAATATTTTATAAAACGTATAAATAACGTTGATCTATCGCTATTTCAACGGATTTAATTTTTTAATTTGCCTGGAGAAATATCATTAATATTTCACTGTATTTACCGTATAACTGTCATTGAAAAATGTATCATTTTACACATCGTATCTTCCTAGCATTTTACTTAGGGAATGTTCAGGGAATGGTTGTTTTTCCCGTGTATTTCTGAGTGGGTGGGGTATGAAGGGGGAGGGCTATAACCCCTTTGGGAAATTCCCCATTAATTGTTTGAATTTGCCGCTTCCGAGGGAACAATTGGGGCTGTCTGAGAGGGGAATTGAACTTCTTCCCACTCTACTGTCTGCTCCCTCTCAGAATTGTTCCTCTCTCTAATCCACCTCTCAGTCATATATACTCCCATGTCTAATCCACCTCTCAGCCATATTTACTCCCATGTCTAATTCATCTCTCAGCCATATATACTCCCATGTCTAATCCACCTCTCAGCCATATATACTCCCATGTCTAGTCCACCTCTCGGCCATATATACTCCCATGTCTAATCCACCTCTCAGCCATATATTCTCTCATGTCTAATCCATCTTATCGTATCTGTTCTTCTTTCAAGCTTTTCTTGTCACTTTCATTGCTTTCGACACCTCTCATCTTTTAATTCACCTCCTATCCTCGAAATTCCTCTTTAACTCAACTTCTGCCTCCCACTTTCTTTAACTCATCTTTTACCCCTACTCTCCTCTCTAAGTTACCTCATTCCCCCTTCTTCCCTCTCTAAGTTACCTCATTCCCCCTACTTTCCTCTTTAATTCACCTTCTGCCCCCTACTCCCCTCTCTACCTTACCTCATTCCCCCTACTTTCCTCTTTAATTCACTTTCTGCCCCATACTTCCCTCTCTACCTCACCTTCCACCCCAACTTCCCTCTCTACCTCACCCCACCACTCCCCTCTCTACCCTCACCAGACACCCTCACAGCGCGCGCCTCATAAGCAGTAACGCGTATTTATCCCTCGCCTCCACTCACTAAATTGGCTCCTCGGCCGTCACTCATCTCGCCCTCAACTTTTTAAGCCATTTGCATCGCGTTTTTTTAATTGTTTTCTTCATTTTTTGGTGAATTTCAAAGAAATCGGAGCAATTCTGTGTCCTGTTACTATTTTTATTACGCGAGCCGCTGCACTACGAAAAGTTCATTCATAACGACAGCGATGAGTTATAAAGGGGGTTGTTTTTATGCCCGTAAATAATCAAGGTTGTTTTATAGGCGTGTTAAGGGCGGCCGCGCGTAACGCACCGTAAGCGAAGTGTCCACTCACGACGACTTAATCTCAGGCGTTCAAGGTAATGCAGCCACGGTAGCGTGCATTTTTCGTTCCTTTGAACACTTCTGTTTAAAAAGTTAACAAATTTCTTCCTATTTTGACGCATATTTACGATTTTTCCCTTTTTTTGCAGTTACCGAGTCTGTATAGACGAGTCTGTACCAAGACATGCACGCAACAACTATACCATCTGCTATAATGAAAGTTACAGCACCGAAATTAGCGTCTCGAATTCTTATACTCGATACGCACTTACGCTCAGGTTGTAATTACAGGTTGCGCGTTATCACCGCCGGCTGGTCGTTATCAGCACCGGCTGGCGTTATCAGTTGGCCGGAATTGTATCTTACGTTGCAAAGTTTAGCGCCGCATGGACGCTTTATGAGCCTCAAGTTCATTTTAAGTTAGGGGGCAAGTTAGGTGCTGGTGGGGGTAGGGGGGTGGGATAAGTTAGATCCTCGAACTTGTAACCCGCCAAACTTTGCTCCATTTTACTCAAGTTTGCTTCGGGTGATCTTTTTTTCAATCCCCTCCCCACGTATCCCCCATCACTTTCCCCCTCCCCTTCGAGGTGTTCACCATCAGTCCCCCCCTTTGGGGCGCTTTTCCCCGCGTGACCCTCCGAAGAGTTTGCGCCCCAACGCAAAATGAAAATAATATAAGGAATAATTTTGGTTGTTAAAGGGAAAACGGTAACGATAATGAGGAACACAAGCAATTCTGTTAAGGATAACAATACCAGCACAACGCCGGCAATGATAACAGCGCCACGTTTAGCCAGCAATGATTATAGCGGCTCGTTTAGCCAGTAATGATAACAGCGGCGGATATAACTGAAAGTTTTACGTCGCTGAGGATCTCATTTACCGCACCTGTTAAAACGAACTGTTAAAGCGAAGCACAGCGAAAATGCTGACACTTTAACAATAGGCAACACAATAGCTCTGCACGTATAAATAATTTGTAAATATGAACCCGTATGGGCCCGAAGAGTGCATCGGAGGCCCGGAAACCACATCACAGGCTAGACGACCACATCAAAGAGGCCGAAGGCCACATTAAATTGCCCTAAGGCCAAATGAAAGTACCATAATCCATTTCAGAGGGCCAGGAGGCCACATCAGTGGGCCCGAAGGTGATATCAGAGGCCCTCTTATCCTATCAGCGGAAAGAAGGCCACATCAGAGGGCCCGAAGACCACATTACATGGCCCGAAGACCACATTACAGGGTCCGAAGACCACATTACATGGCCCGAAGACCACATTACAGGGCCCGAAGACCACATAACAGGGTCCGAAGACCACATTACATGGCCCGAAGACCACATTACAGGGTCCGAAGACCACATAACAGGGCCCGAAGGCCACATTACAGGGCCCGAAGACCACATTACAGGGCCCGAAGACCACATTACAGGGCCCGAAGACCACATTACAGGGTCCGAAGACCACATTACATGGCCCGAAGACCACATTAGAAGGGCGCAAAGCCATATCAGAGGGCCCGAAGGCCACATCACAAATCTCTACGGCCGCATCAGAGGCCAGGTCACATCAGAGGCCAGGTCACATCAGAGGCCAGGTCACATCAGAGGCCAGGTCACATCAGAGGCCAGGCCACATCAGAGGCCAGGTCACATCAGAGGCCAGGTCACATCAGAGGCCATCGTCCCCGCGTCAGAAATCACGGTCTCGGCGGAATTTTTCGTCGTTTGTCTTCATGAATTTATGGCTTAGGCTTAATTTGACCCCAGCCCCTCCACCCCCAAATGCCGGGGCTACGGAGACCGGGGGGATTGCCGATTACCGGACATGGATTTCCGATTGACGGGCCTAAATTGCCGATTGCCATACATGTATTTCCGATTTTCAGGCCTAGATTGCCGATTGCCGGACATGAATTGCCGATGTTCGGACATGAATTGCCGATGTTCGGGTCTGGATTGTCAATTTTCGGGCCTGAATTTCTAATTGCCGAAGTGATTGCCGATTGCTAGGCCAGGATTTCCAATTGCCGGACAGGGACTGCTAATTGCTAACTCTGGATTAACGGTTTCCAAGAAGGATTACTGATAGTCAAGCTTAGATTGCCGCACAATTGGCACAAACTTGCAAGTCTGTGGCGTCAATCAATTTTGATTGTTGATGCAATTTAAGAAAATGACTAAATTCAACAAATATTAGCGAAGAAATAGCCGGGAGAATGGGAACAATCGTTTCCATGATACGAACTATTTCTTTACAATTGGGAAATTAAGGTTTATAATGGGAACATTTTGGTTCAGGGTTCTTAAGAAAGAAATTTTGGATCATATTAGCAATACTGAGTTAATATTTGGAAAGATACTTAACGGAATGGAAAGCTTAATATTTTTTATTGTATTTTAATTCAAACATTTGATTGTTGCGTCAAGTTTAGAAATGAAACGTCGGGAGTTTAAAACTGGAATAATATTTACGGTTGGGAATTAAAATGAAAAGCTACAAAATTATAATATTGTTAGTTCAACATTGCAACGTTGTGGCTTCATGTGTAACATGAGGTGGCGCATGCCACTGCGAGGTAGTGCATGCCACTGCGAGGTGGCGCATGCCACTGCGAGGTGGAGCATGCCACTGCGAGGTGGAACATGCCACTGCGAGGTGAAGCATGCCACTGCGAGGTGGCGCATGCCACTGCGAGGTGGAGCATGCCACTGCGAGGTGGAGCATGCCACTGCGAGGTGGCGCATGCCACTGCGAGGTGGCACATGCCACCGCGAGGTGG